AAAAATTTATGACGAACATGTCATGAATCTCTCTGTAATCTCAGTATTTTACAGAAATGTGCAAAGATACATGTATGAAGATATTCATTGTGTCATTGTACCAATAGAAACAACATGGATATGTAACAATGGATGAAAGGATGGATATGTTTATATATCTTAATATAAAGTTATATATATTTATAATTTATGAATGTAAGTTTAGTAACTTATAGTAGCCATACAAATAAATAATATGTAAATGAGTTGCAGGACTGTATGTTTAGGGGTTTTTTTTTAATAGAAAAAAGGTGAAACAAAATTTGTAAGAGTTAATACAATAACTATATTTAATGTATTTATATGTTTAATTTTATCCATTTTTTCATAAAACTAAACAAAGAGCCAAGCATGGTGGTATATGCCTGCCATCCCAGGACTCTGGAGGCTGATGCAAGAGGACCACTGGGAGTTCAAGGCCAACCTGGGTTGCTTGCTTGAAATGCTTAGTGAAACTCGGTCACAAAAGACCTCCTCCCAAAAAAAATCTAAACAAAGATAGCCCCCAAACTCTCTTTGTGTGCAAAATATAACAAGGTTGAGACCCTTACGTGCCTTATAGAGTAGCCCACCAAGCAAGAGAACAGTGATGAAAGCTAAGATGAGGAGAGGCGGATTGGGGCTGGATTTTTTTAATCATTTATTTATTTATTTATTTATTTATCTATCTATCTATCTGGCGCAGGGCCTCACTATGCAGCTTGAACTCAAGGTGATCCTCCTGTCTCAGCCTCCCCAGCCCTGGGATTACAGGCATGCACCACCACCACTTGGGAATGGAATTTTTGAGCTCTAGTTTTCAAGGCTGATTATCCCCCAGACAGATCTTATTCTCAGGGAAGGAAGGTACCCCTAAAGCTGTTTGGAGTCATGCAAATGAACCATTCCTACACTGTTTACTCTGCCTGTCTTATGTTCCCATAGGAACCTCAAAGAAGGCTTTGACCTAGGCCTTTTCCTCTCTCGACTGCTTCTGCCTAATATCTTCCCCGTTGTCTTACATGATTAATTGATTTCTCTTGAGAAATGTAAGTAATAAATTCTCTTTCTGTGGCAAAAAAAAAATGTGCAAAAGGTGGGAGAACCATTGAGAACATGAAGTGGGCAGGAAAGGACTTGTGCAAAAGGAGGAGGGCAGAAGTATGACAGAGGCTGGTAACCTTACATGGGAAGGAAGGACTCCAGGTGATGCAGAGAGAACTCAGCAATGGGGATTTCCTATCAGAAAGTCTCCTGACCCACTTAAAGTGAATGATTGAAGACCAGTAGTTTATGCCACTGGTCTACTCCCAGTGGTTGAGGGTCTGACGACTTCTACACTGTAGGACTAAGAGAAGGGTATTATGGAAGACCTCTATTCCCCACTTCCCAGGTTCACATAGAAAGCAACCTAAACTCCTCTACCCTCTCTGCCTCTCCCCATCCACTTCCCAGAGAAAGGAGAAAGACTTCATTGATTGTTGAGTTTAGTGAAAGGAATGGGCATCCCATTGGGAGTCAATTTATCCACAGACATGCACTCTATCTCATCAGCCTTGTGTCATACAATAAGAATCCTGGACCCACAGGGAGAACCTTTGGGTATCTAACTCCCATGAGGACCTCACAAGTTTAATTTAGAGAGTACAGTGATGCCAATCTATTTGGGCATGCACCAAAAACCACATTCTTCAGTCACCAATGTAGGCAGTAAACAACGGTATTTTTCTTTCATCTGTTTGGATCCTGCATTCTTTTTTCAAATTGCTCTAAATTTGAATGATCAGAGTTTGAAAGGAGCTCCTCATTAACCTTTTAAAGGAAAAACAAAAAAACAGGATAAGGAAGTCAAGAGAGTCCCAAGAACCCATCTCAAGTGATAAAAAGACGCTTTGAGCTAGAAAATTACTGAGTGCAGAGGAAGTTTCACCTTAAATTCAGAATGGACACCTACCTGGTTCTCTTCTATATAGAATGGAAAAACAAGGAAGGATAAAAGCATACCAGGAAATCCATCCCACGATAAAGCCCAGTTGCCTACCTCTAGAAGCCCCCAACATTCCTGTCCAACCAGAAGAGATGTCTATGGCAGGGGAGGAGAGAACCCCCAGGAGTGCCCATGAAGGGTAAGGAATGGAGCCAGGGGGGCAGAAGAACAAGGCCATACCTGGAAGATGTGCCCATGGCAGTGATGAGTGCCTGCAGCAAGCCACCAATGAAGGGGAAGGGGTTCCGATGGGTGATGAGGAAGTAGATGAGGGGCAAGACGCCACCAGCATGGAGGAACAAGCCCACGATGACAGTCAGTGTGTACATCCCCAGCTGACCCCCGAGCACAGCCATGTCTTCCATTTCAAGAATCTTCCCAGCAATCAGGAACAGGATGCCCACAGGTGCATACCTAGTAAAGTCACACGTCTGTTAGATGATACATCCCTCACATTTTTTTTTTTTTTGCATTACTGTGGACTGTACACTGGGTTTCTCACACTGAGCTACAGCCCCATCTCTTTTTATTTTGAGAAAAAGTCTCACAAAGTTACCCATGCTTAGCTCAAACTTGCAATCCTCCTACCTCAGTCTCCCACATATTTGGTGTGCATCACTGTGCCTTGCTTAAAGACCCTTTCTAGCCTCTCCCAGAGGTCTGAAGGTAGAATTTCAAGGCTTGTCCCATTTAAAGCCTGGACATAGGCAGTGCCCACCATACTGTACCCTACTCCATACCATTTCCCATACATTGGCCATCCCATTTCCACAAGCACATCCAATTTCCTCCCCGCACTCATTCACAGCTGAGTGCAACAGCAGAAACAAACGTGCACGCTGGGGCTTACAACCTTATGAAGTCTTCATCCCAGCTGCCCCCTCCCATTCAAACCCTTCCAAATCAAATATTCATGACCCTCAGGACCTCTTTCCTATATCCTCCTGAGACATCCCTTCTCTTTGGCCTTGTGAACATCCACTGTGTACTGCCAACTCTGTTCTCATTTATAACCCTTATGCTCCTATTATCTTTCCTGTCAGAAGATATTCTCACTCACCCAGCCAGGGCTATTTCACTGTACCTCCCACATCTCAAAACAACTTTCCTATCAAAGTCATCTATGTATTCTTCATTTAATCAACTAGTATCCATTGAGGATCCATTATGTTCCAGGTACACTCTCGCTGTCCCCATGTTTCCTACAATGGGCTAAGGATGCATGTCCCCCCCAAAACAGTCATATATTGAGAAGCTAATCACCAATGTGGATGTGGAGACTTTAAGACAACATAAAGAAAAAATCTCTAGGATAGATATATAGTTGCATTCTCTTAATGAATAGAATGATTTGTTCTAATGGTGTTTGTAAATAGGATCTCAAGTCCGCATCTTGTACAGCAATTAACCACTAAGAAGAATATGTGCAGTGTGTTATTTGTTGAATCTGTACTTCTGATTTGATTTGAAACTGTCTCATTGCTATCAGTTTATCAATAAAATTTTGAAAAAAAAATAAGTTAAGAGAAAAAAAAAAGAAAAAAGAAAAAACCTCATGAGTGGGATTTGTGCTTTTATAAAAGAAACCCAAGAGAAGTCCTTCATTCCTTCCACCATGAGAGGACATAATAAGAAGATAGCTTACATGCCATCTTCTTACACCCCACACTATACAGCAAAGCTGTGGGCACCTTGATCTTGGACTATTTGCCCCAGACCCTGAGTAATTTTTGTTACAACAGCCCAAATGAACCAAGACACAACCAAGGTGCACATAAAAATCCAAACATCAGTCCCCTCTAATCCATGAAAGACATTCCTCAGATGCCTGAAACCATGAATACTAACATCTTTTCTCTACACATAATACACCTATGATAAAGTTTAATTTTTCTGGAAGAAAAGGTAATAGAAATTTATTTATTAGTAGCAAATGTTTGCAATATATAATATTTACATTCCTTATGTGGAGTTGATACATGTATACAACACATCTTAATTCCTCTCATGCCTTTCCATCCCTTTCCCCCACCCCTCTATCTTTCAATCCCCTTCCCATTTGTAAAAGATCTATCTATACTTTCTATTATCCTTTATTTTGCGCTTTACTTATAATTTCAGTTCAATTTATAAGTTAGGCACAGTTAGAAGTTAAACAATGTAAAGAGCAAAATAAAAGCTGATAGAAAATGAGATAGATCTCTTATGGAATACAAGGGGGCCAACAGATGGAGGGAGGGGAAGAGGAAGGGACAATAAAAAGAGCTAAGATGTGTTGTGTACAGGTACCAACTCCCTATGATGAATTCAATCATTCTGTACCACTGTTTCCAAGCTGGACTGGGGGTGCACTTTGATGATGACTGCAAAATTATCTCCAAATCACTATGTCTAGCTCTATCTGTATGCCATAGAATCCCCTTCTCAACCACCTTACCTCCTCCTCCTGCTTCATCCTCTGCAACATTCCTCAGTCCTGGAGCCCTTGTGCATGACTTCTTGCCTCTGATGCTCAGCTACTTGGCGCATCTGCACATTCTGTGCAACAGGCCAATCATCCTGCTATATCTCCACGGTTCTCAATTTGATTGAGCCTTCAATATTCTCTGTTAATCCTCTGCATAGCCTTAATAAAGTCACCCTTCCACCATTTTGGCCTATAGCCCCATAAACAATTATGAATCTAATAAATTTGAAATCATTTGGGATGATGCTATGGTTTAGATAGGACTGCATTGTGTCCCTCAAGGGTTCCTAAAGGTTCATGTATTGGGATTTTTGTCTCCACTGTGGCAAAATTAAGAGCCAGTGCCACCTCTAAGAGGAAGAGCCTGGTTGGAGGTCTCTCCCGGCCCTTTCCTTTCACCTGGCTTCTGCTATGCCTTGTGATCTCCCCTTCACCATTAACTCTCACCATGGCAATGCTTTCTGTCAATGAGTAAATCATTGAAAAACAAGGAGGCCTTTTAGAGCTGAGCCGCACCAACCCCCTTTGCCTGATGCGCTGCTCCCCTCTGATTCTCTAATTAGAGTCCACATGCCATTCAAAGCCCCGCTAAGAGTTGACCTTCTCCATGACTCCCTCCTCAGTTCCCCCAAGTTTCATTCACCACATAGCCCTCTATTCCCTGCTCACTTCTGCACATTCAAACACTTTGCTAATGTCCCCTTACTCCAAAACCTACCACCTGGTGTGAGATTTATTTAGTATGCATTCATCTCCTCCCAGTCTGTGCATGCTCCTTGAAGGTGAAGAATGAATTCAAGGTACCTCTGTATTTCAGAGTTCAATACAAAGTCACCCTGGGAAAATACCTGCTGGATGAAGGGAATGCATAGTGAAGGAATGACAGAAATCAGAGAATGAATGAATGAATACATTAAGGAATAACTAGTGAGGAATAAATGAGGGAAAAAAGAGCAAAAGAAACATGAGTGAATGGACAAATGAATGAAGGGACTATCTGGGAGGAAAAGAGAGAATAATAAATACATAGATGAATAAGTGGGTCTAGGAAAGAGTCCAAATAAATATCTGACTTAAGTGAGTAACTAAATAAATGACTCTGCTATGTAACTAATACATGGACAAATTTATGAGTGGAGGCATGAGTGAATTAACTGATGCACAAAAGAATAAAAAAACAGGAAAATATGAGTGTATCAATTCTTATGAGAATAAAAATAAATGAATTAATTGAGCTAATAGTATTTAGACAAGATGTCATGTCTGCATCTTGTACTATGAGTAACTACTACGAAGACAACATGTAATGTATTAATTATTGTAACTGTCCCACTAACCTGTTTTGAAACTATCTCATTGCTACTTCTTTCTTAATAAAATTAATATTTAAAAAATGAGTGAATTAAGCTTAATCTAAATGAGAGTATGGATGATGAATAAAATATTGCAAAAATAAACATATTGCAAAAAGATGTAAGTAAATGGATGAACGAATGAATGAGTTGGTGAGTAACTTAACCAATACTTATAAGGATGAATGGTTCTGGGGAGATAGCTTGGCAGTCTAAGTGCCTGCCTGGCAAGCACAAGGAGCTGAGTTTTGATCTTGAGTACCACACAGGCTGGGCCTGCCCCAAAACCAGGCACGGTGGCTCATGCCCATAATCCCAACACTGGGGAGGCTGAAACAGGAGGATCACTGTGAGTCCAAGTTGCATAACAAGACCCTTTGTGAATGAATGAATAAGAAAGTGAGTGAACCAATACATAGAAGAATGAATATGGGTGAGAAAGTTGAGGAATGACTTAGACAAATAAGTGAAGGACACTTGAATAAGGGCATGAACGAGTAAATAAATGATCACAGAAAATTATGAAAAATGTGGGAATTAACAAATAGGTCAGTAATGAATTGGCCAATTCATGAATGAAAGACTTTGGTCAATGTCCCCTTATAGCCCCTTCTGCAACTTCCTCACTGCCCACCTGGTCCTAGCCCTGGCTCCTTTCCCATGGTCACTGCTGTCTACCCAGACCCACCCACACACTCACCATATAATGATGCCCACTAGCCTCATAATAGCCTCATTGAGGCTGTCGAAGAAGTCCCTCAGGACTCGGCCCTTGTGTTTCATGCCTCCAATGACCAGTCCAAAGGCCACAGAGAAGACCACGAGGCCCAGGGCATTGATGCCATTGGCAGATCCAGGCACAGGAACAGTCTCTTCAAAGCTCAGTACCTCCTGTAGGGTACCCAAGGCCCGAGTGACATTTTCCAGGATGCTCGTTTCATTCTCCACTGATGATGGAGGAGAGATGGAAGCACCCAGGTCAGACCCATTCTCTGTCCTCACGATGGTCCTGGTTACAATCCTTGTGCTGTACTGTGTCTTAAACTGAAATACAGAAAGATTGGGCCCAAACTCAGCTCAGTGGCTACAGAGAATCACCAGCAGGAATTCCTGAGAACACTGATTCCTGGTTCCCACACCATGGAAAATCTTACTCAGGACATCTGAATAAGTGAATGAATGATTAATTCAAATAACTTGACCAATTCACGGAAGTGAATGAAATACTATAGACATAATGTAAAACATTGTGGAGGTTCCTCAGAAAGTAGAAATAAAACTACCATGTGAGGGGACAACCTGCTCGGGCCCCTCTTCTGTCCAACTCTTGGACAGGAGCTTTCTTTCCCCCAATAAATATATTCTGCTCAGAAAAAAAATTTTTTTAAACTACCATGTGACCCAACAAGCTCACTGCTGGGTATGCATCCAAAGGACACGAAGTCAATATCTTGAAGAGATACAGATTGAACATCCACAATTCAAAAATATAAAATGCTCCAAAATCTGAAACTTTTTAACCACCAACATAATGAAAATTCCAAACTGATCTCATGTGACAGGACACAGTCAAAACACAGGTGCACTAAAAATATTGTGTAAAATTGCTTTCACATTATGTTTGTAAAGCATGTATGAAACAAATGAATTTCATGTTTAGACTTAGTCCTACCCCCAATGTATCTCACGAAATAAATGAAAATATTCTAATTTTTTGTAAATTTCTAAATCTGAAACACTGCAGGTCCCAAGCATTTGAAACAAGAAATATAGTCAACCTATATCTGCTTTCCCATGTCTTCTGTAGCCCTACTCATAATAGTCAAGAAATGAAATTATTACATACATATATATGCCAGAATATTATTCAGTCTTTTAAAAGAAGGAAATCTTGTTATTTGCAACAACATGGGTAACCCTAGAGAACATTATGTTTAGTGAGATATGCCAGGCATAAAACATCAAATACAATTTGGCCTCACTCATATGTGAACTCTAAAAAAGTTGGTATCATAGAAGCAAACTACAGAATAAAAGTCACCAAAAGCTGATATTTGGGTGAAGGATTGGAAGATGTTAGTCAAAGTCTATAGAATTCCAGTTAAGTAGGAGTAAAAGGATCAAGAGATCTGTTATACAACATATGGCTATGCTTAACAGCAATGTATTGTGTACTTGAAAATCACCAAGACAATAGATTTTTCAAGTGCTCCTACAATGCTTAAAAAAGATTAAGTCCAAGAGATAATATATATGTTAATTACCTTGACTCAGCTATGCCACATGAAAACATTATGTTAGAGCCTATAAATATGTACTGTAGGTCTTCCATATTCATTGTTCTGCATTCATGGGCTCAACCAACCATGGTCAAAAATACTGGGCAAAAATTTGTTTCTGTACTAAATTTGTACAGACCCTTTTATTGTCACTACTCCCTAACCGTAGAGTGTAACTATTTCATAATATCTGCATTGATCAGGTGTTCTAAATCATCTAAGGATGACTTAAAGTATACAATAGAAGATGTGCAGGTTTTGTGCAAATAGTTTGCCATTTTATTCAAGGGTTTTGAGCAGCAACCAACTGTGGAATCTGCAGAGGATAATAGAATCAGGCCCCTGCCAATACCAAGGGATGAAATAAGGGGATGCATGGATGAGTGAGAAAGTGAATGACCAATGAACAGAAGAATGAATAGAGTCTGCATTTTGTTCAGGCTGTCTTGGCAATGCTCAGCCAGACTGTGGGGTCTCTGCCTTCACTATCCAGGTCATAAGTCCTGAAATCTTCACCCAGCCTCATGCCTCCTCTAGTCCTGTGCCCAGACAGTCCATGGGCTAAATCATTCTCTCTCACCCTCCTTTCATGGTAAGAATATATATTCTTTCCCCCAGACTCCTCCAAAGATCCCTAACCCACTGCTCTCTCAGGCCCTGCTACCCACCCTCAGCCTTGGGCCACCCAATCAGCAGCAAGCCTCCCACCCTCCAAACCTTGTCAAACTGTATACTTCACCCTGACCTGTTTGAAGCAGGCCTCCACAAGGTTGGGTGGAAACATATTTCTGCAGAGAAACATCAAAGACAGGGATGTGGTTAGACCTTGAAAGAAAACCTGGGATGATCATTGTAAAAGTACCAGCAATAATAATCACAGTAGACATAGGCCTGTGTAGCCTAAGTCAGGCACTCAGCAGTTTAAAATAAATGATTTCAGCACTACAATCACCTAGAAGTGAATGCCACTAACATCCTCATTTTACACAACAAGAAACCAAAGTACAGAGAATGTACATAAGTTATCCAGAACCACACACCTACTAAAAGATTCAGAAAGATCTTGCAATGTTTTGTGTATGGCTTGTCTCCTCCAAAACTCATGTTGAAATTGGATTGTGGACTGTGGTGGTAGTGGGAGGGAAAGCCTTCAAGAGGTGACTGAGTCATGAAAAGTTCTCACCTCATAAATGGATTAATCCATTCATGGATAATGAATGTATGGGCTAATGGACAGTGGCTTTTTATTAAAGCAAGCTCCCTCTGGTACCTTTACTCTGTCTTGCCCCTGGGGTGTCCTCCACCATGTCATGAGCCCCTCACAAGATGCCAATGCATATGCTCAGCCTTCTCAGCCTCCAGAAGCAGAAGCCAAATGAATCTGTTCTCTATAACTCACTCAAGTCTCAGGTATTCTGTTACAACAACAGATAATACATTAAGATAGACCTACAATCCAGGTCTATCTGAGCCTTATTAGACCCTGTCACCACAAGACCTCACTTCAAACACACATGCCAATGATACCTTAAAAAAAAAATCACAAAGTTCCTAGACTCTCCCAATTCCACGTTTACCCATGTCAGGGACGAGAGTAGCAATATGACTATCTCCTTGATTCTGAGTGGCAAAATCTGCTGCACTAAAGGAATCAGCACCCTCCCAAGGAATTAGAAACTACACAAACAGCAGATGTTCAGACCCCAAGATGCTATAGCTACAGCCGCCCCAGTTTAAGGGTACAAAGGCTATATGATAGGTGAAGCTCTCTTGCAGAATATATGCAAGACTCCAGAATAAAATGTGGGTACCAAAAATAAGAATTTAGTAATGCATCCATTTCCTGACTAGATCTACCTGTCCCTTTTTTGTCTTCTTAAATGAGTTGTGTGAACTTCTAGAAATCCCATCAAAATAAGAAAGAACAGCACCTGACCAGGTCCATGAAGGCATCAGCTGTGGGGATGGCCTCAATTCGGCCCTCACGGTGCAGCCCCTCCTTGGAGCCCTTCCCAGGATGGATGATGGTGACCATGAGGATGCCAATGAAGACTGCAATGACCGTGGTCACCATGTAGTACACAGCTGCCCGCATCCCCATCCGCCCTGTCGCCTTGTTGTCCAGAGATGCCATACCTGAAAGACAGATAATTCAGCCCTCCTTGTGCCCATCTGGACCCCACTACCCACTCTCCTATCCATCCAAATAAGCTCAACAACCACCTCACCAGGCACCTGCTCCTCCTACACCCACCTCATAACCCACCCAGAACATATTCATTCACACCACCAGCCCACCCCTTTTCTATTTCTTTATACATCATCACATCCCTTGCTATTCCTTATCCCAAATGCAACTCCACTGAAAGTTATTACTTTCTTTCTACTCCATGCCAAACTTACCAACTCTCACCCACCCTCCTTTGACCCCTATGTTGCACCAGTACCTCATTTTCATCCCACTCTTCTTTGTCCTAGTCATCTCACATGAACTCTCCCCTAAGCCCACTTCATTGTGCCCTTTAGATACTATTGGTGCTCCACCCAGATGTTCTTGACAACCCAATGCACCTGTTCTTCGCTGAGTGTTGGCTCCAAGCAATTCAGGATGGCCTCCTCTCTTAAGAACTGCCCTCAGCAGAATAGAAGCAACTCACCTAGTAAGGCTTCAAGGGCAGCCTACAACCAATGATTGGCTGCTACAGAGATTCAAAGGATTGGTTCTTTTGACTCAGGTAGGGTCAGAATGGGCAAGAGGTATTCCATGCTACTATTCATACTCCACAACTTCCCATGTGATCAGGCTGAGATCAGCTTTCTTCCAAATATAGATCTTTGTTTAGCATCTTTTCCACAGAATCCTGTTTCCCTCACTTCTTTAAGGGTTTCTCACTCATAAGTCATTTGTGCAAATATCCTCATCTTAAGCTCTATATTTGTAGGAAACACAGCCTACCTAAGAAACCATCTGCTCATTTATAGCTTCATTTTCATGTATTTCTCCAAAGCCAGGGGCCAGCAAACCAGTGGCCAAATAAAGACCACTATTTGGTCTTGTAAACAAAGTTTTATTGGGATACATGCAGGTTCTATATTTCTATGGCTGTTTTGTATTGCAACAGCTAAACTGAGTCATTGTAATAGTGACCAAATGGCCTCAGAAGCTGAAAACATTGGCTGAGTAGCCCACGATGGAAAACATTTGAATACACCTAAATAATACATCTACATTCCCATCCCACTCCGTTCTCTATCCTGACACCTCCACCTCATTCACCTACACCCTCCTCCATATCTCATGCCCACCCACCCCATCCCATGTCTTCTCTGGCTGCTTTTCCCTCTACAGCCTTTCCTTCAAGCCTTCTGGATAATATGGCTAAATTACAAGAGCATACCCTAAGACAAATGGTGTGAGGGCTAGAACCTGCATCTGATTGGGATTGGCTTTAGCCAAGGATCATGGGCTAAGTGCAGGCTCCACATCTAAGATGTTGAGTTGGAAAAATGATCCCATACTTGGGATGGCTTTGTTTTCTGCTCAAACTTGGCCTCTGCTTGGGTTTTGGAGGCCAACACTGGCTGGGTTCTCTCACCTGTGACCAGGCTGGAGACAATGAGGGGCAGCACCAGCATTTGCAACATCCTCATGAGAAGCTCACCAGGAAAAGAGAAGTACTTGATCTGCCGGTAGGTAAGCTGGTATGGGCGCAAGGCAAAGGCCAGACTGACACCTAAAGCCAAAGAGAGGGCTGTGGAGTGGAGTGTTTGCCACTGAGCCCCAGGTAGGACCCATCCATCCCAATGATGAGTGTAATGGACAGTAAGAAAAAGAAACATACTGAGTGTATGTATTTGTGCATGCATTGTGTGTGCACGCAATGCAGAAATGTAAGAATTTGTGTCACTATGTAGTATGTCTGCACCCATTCAAGCTCAGATGTGCATGCATATATGAATGTATGTTCCACTGTAAGCACGTACATGCCTGTATGAGGCCAGACACATAAACACACACATGCATTTCCCAAGCTATGTGCTGTGTATATTTACAAACATGATTGCTTGGGTATTTGAGTTCATAAATGTGTGGATGTCTGCTCAAGAGAACATATGCCTTTGTTCACATGAACTCAGACTTTTGCTCACAAGTTCTAACACAACTGGCCCTTCATGTCCTCGGGTTCCACATTGTGGAATCAACCGAGTACAGATGGAAAATGCTGGGGAAATTTTGCATATTACGGGACCTAGATGCTTTTTTCTTGTCACTGTTCTCTAAACAATACAATATAATAATTACTTGCACAGAGATCATTGTAGCAGATATTCTAAATCATCTGGAAATGATTTCAAGTATAGAGGAGTATGGCCCTAGGCTATATACAAATATACTACTTTATCTAAGAGACTTGAAGGACTTGCGAGATAGCTTAGAGAACTAAGCACCTGCTTAGGCAAACAGAGGGACTGGGATTCGATTCCCAGGACCACATGCTGCACCGGCCCCACCTCCCCCCTGGGCTCCCCAAGGTGCACTGAGCTGGCACCAAGACCAGACATGACGGCGCACACCTGTAATACCAGCACTGGGGAGGCTGAAAACAAGAGGATCACTATGAGTCCGAACTGCATAGTGAGACCCTGTATCAAAAAAAGGAAAAAATAATTCAATATCTAAGGATTTTTTTTAATGAGCTTGATAAAAACATCATACATTCATTTGTTTGGTTTTGTTTTTTGGAGTTTTTTGTTTGTTTGTTTTTTGTTTGTTTGTTTTGTTTTGTTTTGTTTTTGGGTGAAACCGGGGATTGAACTCAAGCCTTTGTGCTTGCCAGGGAAGCGCTTATTCTACCGAGCCATCTCCCCGGCCCCGTGAGCTTGATAAAAACAATTTTAGAAAATCTAAGGGTTGATAATCCGTGGAATTTGGTATTCATGAAGATCCTGAAACCAGTCTCCCTCTGAGGATATCAAAGGCTGTATATTCATGCAAGAGCACATGAGAGTTTGTGTTTACACCTGTAAATCCAATCCTGTACATGCATAAAACTGCTTCTGCTCTGTGTACATACGTAAACTGTGTCTGAACAAGCCTGTGGACATGGATCATGTGACATTGTATGTGCATAGGTGTGTCCTTTAAAGAGAACTAAGGGTGCTTCAAGAAGTCCACAAGTGAGAACGAAGGGGTGGCGCCAAGAGAGTAACCGGAAGTGCCCTCCCACTCCCACCTCAGGCAGGCGTAACTCACCGATGACCACAGCGCTGACAGTGAGCAGGATGAAGGCATTGCGACGCAGGAAGCGCAGCACGCGCTCGCGGGTCAGGGTCTGCAGGCGCAGGCGAGTACGCAGCGCCCTCTGCTGCAGACTGTCCCGCATCCGCTGCAGCCAGCCGGCCCTGCCCAGGCGGTGGCCGCTCTCCCGCAGGAACAGACTGTTGCCGTGGCTGCTCATCGTCTATCTGCGGGGGACACAGGAGCCCGGGTCTGGTGAGGGAGGGCACGGAAGCCAGGACGTACGCAAACAGACCTGCTAGGGTGGTGGGAAGGAACTTTGGAAGACAAGGGAGGGGCCGTGTCTGTGAGGCTGGGATGCCTGGGAGTCCAGAGTTCCAGCTGAGGTCCTGGCACCAAAGGTTTAGGTCTCCAGAATTATTTCTGGACATGACTGAGAAGAGGCAGGGCAGAAACCCACAAAATAATGGACGCTGTTGCCATTTCCTGCTTCCAGACACCTCTTCATTTTACGGAGATCATAACAGCCCACCACGGAGCTGGCCCAGCCCTCACATCAAACTAACAAGCCTTTGCTAAATGCCAATGGCAGAACCCTAAATAAGGCACTTTGGGACAGCTCCCTTAAATTAGCAGAGTTTGATGTCTGCTCCTACCACCCCCTTTGACCTCTGAAAAGGACAAAAATCACTGGACAAACTGTAGGTGCCCAATAAGTGTAACTGTTCAGCATTCCCACGGGAGCGACAGAGAGGGGAGTCACTTGGGACAGGAAGGGTGACAATTCTTAAGGACTTACCCTGGGGTGACAAAAACCATACTAGGTTATTTCCCAAAATTCACTTTTGTGTCTCCTCTTTACGTTTGGATTTCTGTGCAACCTTGTTTACTTTTTTTTTCCTTTATTAGTATCAAAAGTGGAAACCTTAGATCACAAATTGAAGTGGTTTTCTATAGAGTTTTGTTGTTGTTGTTGTTGTTGTTGTTGTTGTTGTTGTTTTATTGAGAAGCTTAAGACTTGGATTCATCAAATAAAACCAATTTCTGAAGGGAAAATACCAAAACCCACAATAGAAAAAAATATCTGGGCCATAGCAGAACCCAGAGAAATGCTTCTATGATTGAGAAGTTCTAGTTGCTTCATAACTGACCTTTTATAAAAATGACCTACTGAATTTGCAACTTGTGGGTCTTGGTGCTCTGGTCTGTAGGACAAACTAGGAAGTCTTCAAACCTGGAGCTTAATTATTTTTCATTTCTTCCTTTTCTTTCTTTCTTTTGTCATCCTAGGGATTGAACCCAGTGCCTTTACACTGAGCTATAGCCCCGGCTTTTTTTTTTTTTTTTTTTTTTTTTTTTTTTTTTTGACAGGATCTTGCTGAATTGCTCAATTTGCAAACCATCTGCCTCAGCCTCTAGAATACTGAGATTACAGCTATGTACCACTATGCCCAGCTTATATTTTTCATAAATACTAAATTAAATGCCCATAAAAATAAAAATCTGCCCATCTGTTTCTCATTTAAACAGCTCACATGTACAGGGGTGGGGAGGTTAGAAACTGTGAGTATCATGAACCTGAGGAGCTTTTCCCTTCCTGGATCCCTTCTGTTAAAAATGTTTAAAGTATATTAAAATTATACCTTATAACTGCAATGGTATAAAGATAAAGATATACAGTCTTGACTTACAATGTTTTGACTTTCCAATGGTACAAAATGTGATACACATTTGGTAGAAACTGTACTTTGAATCTTGCTCTTTCCCCCAGGCTAACTATGAGCCGTATAATACTTCCTGGTGACTTTTATTTTCTTTTTGTATCAGAAACAAAACTCACGACTTCACACTTGCCAGGCAGGTGCTATGCTGCTGAGCTACATCCTCAGCCCATGCTGGTGACATCTGGTGTTGGCAGCAAGCCACAGCTCCCTGTCCGCCCATCAATCACAAAGGCAAACACTGACACTCTACCATGGTGTGTTTCTAAATTGTGGTGCTTGGAGGCAGATTCCATACGCTTTGGTGTTATTGTTGTTGTTGTTGGGTTTGTTTTTGTTTTTGTTTTGCTTTGTTTCAGTGCAGGGGATGGAATCCAGAGCCTTGCACATGGTAGGCAAGCACGCAAATGCTCACCACTGAGCTACGCCCCCACCTCTGCTCTGCAATGCATTTTTACTTACAAAATTTTCAGCTTACAGTGGGTTCATCCAGACATCACACTAGCACAAATCAGAGCCTCTGTGTTATTTTAGAGCTATGTAGAGGTGAGGACTGCTTAGTATTGAGGAGGTATTAAATACCAATTAAGGGCTGAGAAGACAGCTCAATGGCACAGTGCCTGCCTAGCAAGCGCAAGCTCCTGCATTTGATTCCTGGTGCCAAAATTAAAAAAAGAAAGAAAGAAAGAAAGAAATCTAAATGCCACTGAATGCCATTTTCCAACGTTTGATTGTTATGCAAATTTTGCTTCAGTTTAAAGAATGGATTTGTTGATATCACATTTTAAAACATTTTCTTTGACCTAAAAGTTTCATCATTGTTTTTTTTGTTGTTTGTTTGTTTTTCATTTTTCTGATTTTAAAAGAAATTAAAACGCCTCCTTCAGTCCCTGAAATTGTCATGAGCTTTAGACAGTGGGCCTTCCTACCTGGGAGGAGGAGCAGTTAGCCTGGATGGAGCTCTTAGCATCCCTGTGCCTTACACACTGGGATTCTGCCTACTCTTCTGGGCTGGCTGTCAGCCTCTGCCTCTCACTGGCATCTTTTTCAGTCTGGCCAATGAAGAATGGTGACCAGAGAACAGCTCCCTGTCTGGCAGCAGCTATGTTTCTCTGCTTATAGCCACACCTCCCATAGGACAGTCTTCTACTACAAAAGGACTCTCTCTGAGTCCTTCTCCTGCCTTGTCAATCCTAGAAATGGCAACATCTCCCAGATGCTGGCCCCAGGGCAACGCCACCTTTGTTGACTTCTCTTAAAAATCATATCTTTGTAAAGTCACAGTACAAGTCTGTAACCCTAGAACTCTAGGATGCTGAAGCAAACAAACTGTAAACTTGAGCAGATTAGCCACTTAGCAAGATGCTGTCTCAAAGCTAAAAATTAAAAGAAGGTGAGGCATGCAATTGGAGCTCAGTACAAAGGCCCTGCATTCAATCCTCAGTGTGGAAGAAAGGAACTAAACTCCTAAGTAAGACCCAAATTAGACGGGCACACTCTAGAGCCTGAAGTCTTTTCTCTCTTTCCTTTCTCTTCCTTGAAAAATGTAGTATGGTATAGTTTGTTCCCCATATTTGCCATTCTGCATCCATGGAATCAACCAATCTCAGATCATATTCAAGGTGGAGTGCAAGCTTAGCATGTGCAAACCCCTAAGCTAAGTTCCTAGAACCAAAAATAAAATTATGGCTATACTGAGAATGAGCATGTACAGCTTTTTTCTTTCATTAGTCCCTCACCAATATAATGTAACAGCTATTCAAATAACATTTACACTGGATTAGATGTTCTAGTCATCTAGGCAGGATTTAAAGTATATAGGAGCAGGGGCTGGAGAGATGGCTCAGTGGAATAAGCACTTCCCTGGCAAGGGCAAGGGCCTGAGTTCAATCCCCAGTTCTCCCCCCCACCAAAAAAAAGGAAATTAAAGTATATAGGAGGATGCATATATATCTTATGCAAATATTATGTCACTTTACATAAGGGAATTGAGTCTCTAAGGGTTTTGATATCCCTAGAGATAATTGGAGCCAATACCTGCACATACCTAAGGACAACTGCACAGAGTAGCAGTTGACAAAGTACAGTCTGCAGGCCAAATTTGGCCCACTCTCTAGTTTGCAAATAGTTTTATTAGCACAAAACCAGGTCCTTTCATTATGTAGTATCTATAGCTGCTTTCAGGCTACAATGACTGAGTTGAATTCTTGGAACATAGACTGTGTGAGCTGAGAAGCTGAAAATATTTTCCCTCTAGTCCTTTAAAAGAAATGCTGGCCCACCCCCACTCCAAGCCTAGAGAAAAGCATACACTAGCCCTTTATCTCAAATACCTACTCCATCTTTAGGAACTGGCCTAGCACTGACTCATGGCTTACCTGGCTCCACATACCTGATTCTTAGAACATCCCAGGGTAGTTACAGAACAGATGTCAAATGTGACAGATAAGTGCAGAAACTCAATGAGCACAAAACAAGGAGAGAGAAAAATGCTGAGGTGGGAGACTGTCTTACCAGCTTTTTTTAGTTCTGTCTGCACTGCTCTCAATATATGACATTGTGATTTGTCAATTTAAAATAATGATAATTTTTTTTATTTTTCATCAAAAGTACAATAATTGTACACATCTTTGGGGTGCAGTGTGATCATTTCAGACATGAATATCATGAGTAATGATCAAATTAGGGTAATTAGCATTTTTATCTCTTTAAGCATTTAACGTTTCTTTGGGAGCTTTTTAAACTTTTCTTTTCAATTCTTTATAAAACATATACTTAAATTATAAATTGTAATCATCCTTTTATGCTATAGAACACCAGAACTTAGACCACCCACCTAACCATTCTGTTCTCATTGTCTGGCTCTCCTTCATCCACTTTTCCACTTGTTATTGACTGCTATTGTCACTCTCACCTTGTAAGACATCAGCTTTGTTACCTTGCATGTTTGGGCGGGAATAGTTGGCACTTGCCTTCCTCTGCCTAAAGTATAATATATTTTTTGTACTGGAGGCTGAAACCAGGACCTTCACACTGAGCTACTTGCTCAGCTGTTTTTTATTTTTTTTATTTTGAGATAGGGTGTCACTAAGTCAACAAGTTCCCCAGAGTGGTCTTGAACTTGTGATCCTCCTAGCTCATCCTCCCAGAGTACGGGAATTACAGCTATATGCCATTACACCTGGCTAAAATAGCATTAACTTTTAAAAACACGTGATTACCTACAGTTTTCTCAGGACCTTAACATCCACTTGGGCCTTCCTGGATCTCTATTGGCCCCTCAGGGGATTCTTTCCTGGCCCAGGCTCTGTTGTCTCTAGCCTGTCCTGATTCTAGATCTCTTGACCCTCTTGAGCTTCCTTGCTCAAAAAAATAGCCCTTCTAGCATCCCATTTCTATAGAGAGGGGCTCAAGGGTGGTCTCCCTCCTCATTCTCCCAACCTCAGGACTCAGATGTGATGATACATTCTGGCTACACTGGAGACAAGAGGAAGAAATGCAGGGCCTCCTGATCCCTAAAGCTGAGCAAGTGTTACAACTCTTGCCACTAAGAGGTTTCTGCAGATAACAGGCTAACTGAGCTGTATAGATGCAGGCAAAACATAAAGGACCAGTGCTGGGATGAACTTCCTAAGTCACCAGCAGCATGGCCACGTAAGAGTTGGGAAAGTGTTCACCAGCCCTAAAGGAGCCAGGATGATTTATGTAATAAAGTTTGTAGGAAAAGAAACTTAAATGTTGACATGGCTACAGGGAAGGATAGGACAGCACGAAGCAAGCAAAGTCCTGGAACAGAAGGTACAGCTGTAAAGAGATGCTTTTGCTGCTTCTTGGCTGGCTGGTCCCACTGTGGTCATTCTGGTGATCTTCAGCACACAGGACTGGAATGTGCAGCAGTTTGTCTTTTCTTTCCTTCTTTTTCGTGTTGATGTGGCTTGAAGCTCTAAGTTAAAACTGCCTTCTCTTTACTGGCCTCTAACTTAGTATGCCTCATCAGATGCTGCCGTCACAAGCTCAGTGGATAGAACAAGAACGCGCTCTGCACAGTTTGTCTCAGTGCTGTGCCAGCCAGAGGTGTGTGAGGAGAGGGAGAGATGGAGTGGCAGTCATATACACTGCACACACAAACTTGCACTCACGACTTCACATGCCTGTTGTGCACAACCAACATACAACCCCACACATCACATACACTCTTCGAACGCACAATCCACCCACACCTTCAGAAGTTCAGCTCTGTGCGTGCAACTGTAGCCACACAAATCACTCACAGAGGCACACACTGCCATATTCATGCACACCATCGAACATAACTGCATACATATTTTCATATTCTGCACAACTACCCTTTACAATTTAAACTCCATGCAATGATTTTTGCACATTCCCTCCTCTGTCTCTGTCTCTCTCTGTCTCTCTCTGTCTCTCTGTCTGTCTGTCTCTCTCTCTCTCTCTCTCTCTCTCTCTCTCTCTCTCTCTCACACACACAGTTTACAAGATAAAACACAAAATATCATTCACATTCATCCTGACAGCCAGACCACACTCAGCTAGCTCTTCCAGAGGGCAACTCCACGCATAAAGTCAGTCTCACACACGTACACACGCACATCCATTCACACCTAAACCTCCTTTACAGCGGTGGTCAAAGTCTCACCCACAGCAGATGTCCCTTGAGTTGATAGGTTGACCCCGATAGAAGAAGAAACCCTGAGAACACAGGCGGCCCCAGACTCAGGAAGGGGTCAACCGGAGCTGGGGCCCGCGGCTGAGGAGGTGGGGAGATGGGCGGCAGACCCTGCAAAACCAAGGCGATGGAAAACTCAGCAGGGCAACCTGGGGTATTGCTGCAGCGACCACCTCAGGGGCAGTAAGAAGCACAGATTAGAGGTCCGCCCTCCTGCCTTACTCTAGCGTCCCCCATCCGCACCTGCCCGGAACCCCAGGGCCCCAGCACGCACCACTGTCGCCTCACTCACCGGCGCCCGGAACGGCAGGGGCGGCCTGCCTGCCTTGGCCTGCTCGCTGCCCCGGATGCAGGAGCCGGAGCCCGGCAAAGCGCCCGGCCAGGGCCGCTGGGACCCGCCAGGGACGTGCAGCGCGGACTGCGAGGCGAGCGACCGCGGAGGCACCGGCGAGCAGCCGGGACTCGGCGCGCAACCGGCGGGATCCGGGCTGGCCGTGCGCTCACGTGGGCACAGGGGCACTGGGGGCCCGGGGGAGGGGGCGGGATCCCCTCTGGGATGGCCCCCCGCCTCCCACCCCGCACCCAGCTCAGGATCCAAAAGCCGTGCGGGAGCTGTGGGACCGCGCGCTTGGAGAGCGGAAGGAGGAGGGGACGCGGGGTGGAGAGGGTGGTGCCCTCTCTTCGCTCAGCCTCCGCCCCTGCTCAGAGCCGCGCCCCCCGCACCGCCCACAGGGCTTGCCCCGGCTTGGACCTCCCCCGGGTCTGCGCTGCAGCGTCGGGGTCCTGCCCCTCATCCTCCTCAGAGGCCTGTGGAGGGACCGCAGCTCTCCCTTTGGATGCACTTTCCGTCCTGGGCCGCTGTGCGCCTTTGGGTCAGCTCCTCTCAGTCTCTGAGCCTGCCCTTCTTGTCTAAACAAGGGAGATGACTTGGCCGACCCCAGAGAAAATTAAAGCTGAGAAAATTAAAGAAGCGCAAGGGTGTGGAAAAGCTCCGTGCATGTGAAGAGCCGAGCAAAAGACAGGAGAATCATCATTGCTGATCGGATTGTAATTAATAAAATGCTTTTCCACAGTCAGGGCTGTAAAGTCTATCTCCTTTTCATCTCAGCACCAACTTGGTGGCTTTCAACATCTTTTGCCTTCCCTGTGAGCTAAAGCCATATAGAAGAAGGCTGAGCCTGGAACCCAGCATGTGCATAAAAATTCATGCTCATTATGGTTACACTGTAAGACACGTTCATTATTATTACGATGTAATGATGTCATGATTATATTGTATCTTTTTCTTTTCTTTTCTTTTCCTGCATTGGGGATTGAACTCAGGACATTGTGCATACCAGGCAGATGCTCATGCCACTGAGCCGTACCCCCAGCCACTATGATTATATTGTAATACATGTACGTTTTACTGGTAACACGTGCGCTATTGTTACTATTGTTGTTAACTGAACAACTGTTGATGGCAACCTGCATTAGGGAGCTCTTTATTCATATTTCACCTGCGTTCCCTAGTGAAGTAGTTATCAAGGCTCCTATTTGCTGAAGAAGAAAAAGGAAGGCGAAGAGGTTTGGTAAACTGCCCAAAGTCACAGAGCCAGCTAGCTCAGACAACCACCAAAGAGAGCTTTTTAAAATGCTGGTTCCTGGGCTGGCCATATAGCTCAGCAGATTATAAATGCCTGCTTAGGGAGATGCAGGGATGGGGTTTGATCCCTGTCTTCCCATGCAGTGCTGGCACCACCCCCAAAGGAGGTTGAGGCTGCTTTTGAGAATGGGCGTTGTGGCATACACCTGTAATCCCAGTACCTGTGATGCTGAAACAGGGGGATCACTATGAATCCAATCTGTGTAGTGAGACCCTGTAGACCCTGTACTAAATATATAAAAATAATAGGTGGTACTGCCCTGGGTCCCCTATCCTCACTCCAGCCAGTGTGCAGACCTGGTGTAAAGGCCCTTTGTGAAACCCTGAGGCAGAACTCCCTGCAGAGAGGCTAGAGGCAAGATCCACTCAGCTGATCCAGAGCAGAACATCTTGCCAGAATGGCACAGGAAGAAGTGGAGCACAGCATCCAGACCCAAGCCATATCCATCTGGACAAGTTTGAACTTGGTAGATCTGGACCTGGTGTTAAGGTAATAACTCTACCAAAGCTCTACAGCAGGGGGCCGGGGAGATGACTCAGTAGAATAAGCTCTTCCCTGGCAAGCACAAAGGCTTCAGTTCGATCCTTCATTCCAAAAAAAAAAAAAAAAAATCTCTCCAGCAAAGGTCAGAACACAGTGCTATACAAAATGACAAAGAGAAGGAGCCACATGCATTCTCAGGCCCCAAGCCCACCCAGAACAAATGCAGGAGACAATAGCATAGAAGAAATTGGACAGCATATACCTGAAATCTCTGAAATAATATTATCTGGAGTAAAGAAACAACTGCAGAAAGGAATAGAGGAAATCAGATCAGAAATAATTTCTGAAGTAAAAAAAGAAATGATAACTATAATGAAAGAAGTACTAAGTGCTTCTATAGAACACACTAATAAAAAATAGAGGAAAATAGAAAAATTATGGAATTCTTGAATGAGAAATACAGGAAAGAAATAGAATACAGGAAAGAAATAAAATGTATGATGCAGATTCAAAGTGATAGGAAATTAAAACCTCAATCACAAGCTGGCAAAACTGTTTGAATGAAAATAAACTTTCAGACCTTGAAGACACCATTGCAGCTAATGAAAAGGTAAAATAAGATCTCTTAAAAACAACTAGGATGCAGGAAAAATAATTCAACATCTGAAAGATGATGCAAAGATGAACAACATGAGACTAATAGGCATCAATGAGAAAGAAGGAGTCAATACAAATGATATAAAAAGAATATGAATGGAAGTAATAGCAAAAACCTTCCCAAAAAAGGTGAAACAATCTGGCATTGGGGTAACTGAGGCATATAGAACTCCAAACAACATCAATCCAAATAAAACCACACCCAGACATAAAGTAATCAAGATCCCAGAATTTCAGCACAAGAGCAGTATACTAAAAGCTGCTACAGAAAAGAAACATCACATTTAAAGGAAAAGCCATCAGAATAACGGTAGATTTCTCTTCACAAACCATCAAGTCAAGAAGAACATGGAGCAAAGTACTACAAGTTTTACAAGAAAACAAATACCAGTCCCAACTACTACACCCAGCAAAACTCTCTTTCAAGTTTAATGGAGAAGTGAAATACTTCCATGACAAAGAATAACTAAAGAATTTCATGACAACAAAGCCAACCCTACACAGACTACTAAAAGATATTCTAGAAATAGATCAGAATGACCACAACTCCATGAATGAGAAAGGAAAGAACCCATCAAATAGGGCAAACAATTAAACACAGGAGAAAAAGAGGTATACAACAGCAGTCTTTCAATTATTCTTTTGTATGCAGCAGCAAAATATTGCCATCAGCATACTCTACAAGTGACTTCCCTGCACCCTATGGGTCATGATTCTGTTGGATTTTCAAGGTGGATATCAAGGAAATAGCGGTAGCTCAGTCCCACAAGTGACCCCTGTCCACCAGTAAGCATCATGGACACTGTCCATGTTCCCCCCATACTAGAACTTTGTGCAATATCCTATTGCCAAACTGTTAGAAGTGCTGGTCATATATTTGCCATTCCAGTATTTTGGTTATGTTTTATTCTTAGTAATTCTTTACTATCCTGAAAATTTTTTCTTAGTTGATATTTTTGGATATATTAACCTAATCAAATACTATGTGAGTACTCTGAATTGATCATAGATTTGTACATATGATACACTACATGCTGACCTCTTAGTTGGACTCACAATTTAATTTTAATTTTTGAATATTATTTTGAAATATTTAATTTAATTTTGAATTAATTCATATTTAATTTTCTCAATATTGTTTAATTTTAATTTTTGTTTTATGATTTATAGTGTTTCTTTGACTTACAATCTACTTATGAGACATGGTATGATATTTTATCTTAGTATTAGAAACTTTAGGGCTGGTGAGATGGCTCAGTAGTCTAAAGCACCTACTTAGAACAAGCTTAGCAAAGCACAGGGACCACAGTTCAATCCCCCAGCACCACATGCCAGCCAGCCCCGCCCCCTGGTGGGCTGAGCTGGCCACACAAACACACAAAAATAAATAAATAAATAAATAAATAAATAGTTAAAAGAAAAGAAACTTTAAAAAGTGTATTTCTATTTTCCATTGGCTTTATATTAGTTTTTGTATTTTACACGCACACACATATATATATATGAAAAAATATGTATATGACCTGTCATAAGATTGATACTGTTTTGTGAAAATCTTCAATGACCTTTTAAGTGTGTTCATCTAATATAATTATATTTTACGTAGTCCTGCATAACTACCATTTTGAGAGTTCTTTATTCTTTATCCAGGACCATACAGCAACTTCTTTTGCCTTCTGGATTATGATCTTTGTTATTTTTATCTGTTACATCTGAAGTTATTAGTCTATTTCAAGTTTGTATAACTGGAAAATATTTTACTTTTAGTTTTCAAAGGTGTGTTTGCTAAGTATAAAATTCAATGAGGACAGATTTTTTTTCAGTCCTTCCTTTGAACAAATAAGTCTGATTTCTTACCTGCTTGCTCTTTTTTTTCTAATGTGGAATAAGAAGCTATTTAATTTTGTTCTTCCATAGCTAATATATTTTCTATGTATATGCTTTAGTGATTTTCTTTTCTTTACAATTAGTTTTGGACAATTTCATTTTTGTGTATGTTGGTATGATTTTATTCATATTTCTTGTGCAAAAGGTTCATTTTTCTTGGAAATGTGGTGCTATAATTTTAACTAAATTCAGAAATTTTTAATCTTTAAATATTTATTGCCTACCCCATTCTACTTTGAGAGTTCTAATTATATGAATATAAGTTTCTTGATTTTGGCACAGAGTGAAATATTATATGACTGATCTGTAAATTCATTCTTCCCCATGTTTATTTTACACAATTTTGTTATATTCGTTTAAGTTTGTAAATAATTTTTTAGAATGTGCAATCTATTAATCTCATATTACATATTCATTTTTCAAATATTATTCTAAAATTCACTGTCTATATCTTTTATCTTTGACATTTCAATATTTAATCTACAATTTTTAATTTGCTACATAATTACTATTGATTTTCAATAAAGTTAATAATGAGTTATAAATAAATAATAAAATGCTGGTTTCCAAACTGCACACTAGGTCAGCCAAATCAGTTTTCCTAGGAACACAGCCCAAGTATTGATATATTTTGATACTCCTCCAGTGATTCAGAAATGCAGCTCACATGAACCCCACTCTAGATTTCAGATTCCCCAGGGCCACACCTGCAACCTGCGACTTTCACCTCATGCACAATTTGTGTTCCAAAGTGCTGCTTCCTTCTCCCCACCTCAGCCTGCTCCAGAGCACCTGATTTTTACAGTCATTTATGCCACAGATATTTATTTTGTATC